TTCCACCTCCTCATCTGACAGATGTGAGACATCACTCAACTCCTACAAAGACCAAAAGGTTCGCATCAGAGAGAAGTTCCAAAACCAAATCAATATGGCATGTATTTAACTTAAATTACTCATACTCTCACTTCAAAATTAGATAAATGCCTATATATGCATATAGTCCCGAGAACCGCCCTTAAACCTAATGCTCTTGATACTACTAAATGTAACACCCGCCGCCCGATCCCGAAGACCCGACGGTGGATGCCACATTCGGTGCCGGATGGCAACCGTCCTTAACCTACAATATAAATCAAACAATCATTATTATTGAATTAGAAGTGGACTTAGTATTCACAAGTTTTAGCAAGTTAATGATTCTGTTTTTGAAAATGTTTGGGAGAAATCCTACGGGAAAAACTGCAAGAGTTTCCCCTAAAAATAGAAGTTGCCAAACATATGAATTACAAAACACTCCCAAATTCAAACTCCAATAACAAACACAATAGGACTTTCTATAATTTCATAACTCCATAGTTCCCTCAATAAACATTGTATAATATTCATCACTTCAATACCATTCATTTAAATATTATCAACTTCTATGTTCTAACCATTAAATAAGTCCAAGTTTATCTCCCAATATATAAAAACCAAATAATTTACAATAACATGCTTAAGTTTATAAATTTGAAATAATACATCTCCAAAAATGTAATACTTATACATGCCATAATTTTTAGTTACATAAAAATACTAATCAACTTACAAAAAAGATTTCTCTTCAAAACTCTGATGCTACTCTTCATGTCTTTAAGCAGCAAAGCACAATCTCCAACCTGCGCGTGATAAAATTCAACGCGCTGAGTATAAAAACTCAGTGGTGCTCATAAAACACAACAAACCAAATGTTGTGGATGACACATTTACTTAAAAACAATCATTATTATATATAAAATCATTAAAATTTAAACATTGCAGTACATATGCACACACAATCATGCTTTAGGAAATTCATTTGATATCATTAAATAAGTTGTGATAAAATTTAAGAGTATTAACATAATGTGATCTTCATTTATTTCACTTCCTTAAAAAATATTGTATAAGGGCTTCACATACACTTAGGAGAAAAAGAAGCAGATAAGTTTTTCATAGCTTATTCATAATGGCCTTAAGGTCGCCAACCTTTCATAAAATATAGGAGCGCCGTCCGCCCTAACATAAGACACCCACGTGCCTTAGCTATTGATCATAGCTTCTTATCATAATGGCATCAAATGCCGAGCATGGCTCATCATACATAATAAAATCAAATTCATGCATCAAATTCACACCAAGTATATTTAGAGCCCAAAAAACATTTCTTCATAAAATTCATTTTTCTTTTAGTCTTCTCATAATTAAAAACTTAATTTTAAAACTTAAGTAATTCATAAAATTCTCATACTTAACAAAATGACTTAACATGAAAATTTCCAGCATTAAAAATAAATGGACCTTTGCTGTGTTTTTTAAACATAACCAGAAGCTATGGTCTCTAATTAAATGAAATTAGAGTCGTTAGAAAGCGAGACAAAATCCTACAAATGTTATGAAGGGGATCACACCCAGGATCAATATGGAAGATAACAAAACAAAGCTAGGGAACACAGGACTGACAGACCAGACCTGATTCAAGCAAGAAACCAAGTCCATTTTTTTCTTGAATTTCTACTTAAATCCCACACTCAAAATTAACTAATCTAGAACGGGAGAATTCTCAAGACATTAGGGAAACAAACTTTTATGAAGAACTCAGAACCTAATCTTGTCATTATAGTGGTCAAAATGGGCACTAAGTCAGTGATGCAATGTGGCCCGACACAAAGAGTCAGTTTGGGTGTTTCAGCCATTAAGTTGAGTTATTATATCTCCAAATTGGACACAAAGGATGGCGTTGGAAAGCTAAGAGATTAGACTACAACCTTTATGAAGGACTCAGACCACAAATGGAAAACTAGGAATAAGGACCGAAGAATGGTCCTAAAATCTCACTCAAAATCTCATTTTTCCCAAATTCATTTACTTGAGCCATGGAAAGGAACATGAACACAAAGATACAAGGTAGAAATGTCTACACAAAATAAATACTCATCAACATTCATCTAAAGAGCATGTAATGGCAACCTAAATCAACAAACCAATTATTTCATACAAAATCTTCAAATATACACATAATTAGCATAAAGGCACAAAATCCAAAATTTGAAGTAAGGTTAAGTGTGTTTTTGAACACTAACCTTCCAAAAACAAGCTTTAACAAGCTTTAATCAAAGCTTCTCAAGCTTTGGTCTTGCCTTTATCCTTATTAGAAGGCTCTCCACCCTCTACATGGAAGTGTAAATACCTAAATTTTGAGGCTCAAAAAGCCAGTTTTCCCGGCCGCCCTTAAAGGCGGCGGCCGCCCTAAGGCCCAAAATTCACATTTTGGCCCCTAAGACCCGAAAATTCTCAATCTGGACCCCTAAGGCCCAAAAATTCACATTTTGGCCCCTAAGGCCCGAAAATCCTCAATCTGGACCCCTAAGGCCCAAAAATCACATTTTGGCCCCTAAGGCCCAAAAATTCACATTTTGGCCCCTAAGGCCCAAAAATTCCCAATTTGGCCTCTAAGGCCAAGAAGAGAAGAAGGAAAACGTGTATGGGAGAAGGAGAAGGCAAAAGTTGGTGCTCAATAATTGATAGTTGCTTTATTAAAGCAACTAAGGGGGTATTTTGGTCTTTTCTCCAAATTGGAGGGTATTTTTGGTCTTCTCTCCAAATATTCTCCAATTAAATTCCTTCAAAATATTATTTATCTCCACAAAAGTTTCTAATTTATTCCATAAAAATAATTCCTCAATTTTCCTCCATAAAAAAAATAATTGCTCAAATTTCCTTACTTAATCTAACACCATAATTCACTATTCACTAAGTATCTAAATTCTCCAAAAATATTCCTTACTTACTTTCTACCCATAAAAACCATGCATACATGCTTCAAAAAAATGTTAAATAAAATATAAAACATAAAACATAAATAGTAATTTTTCGGACCAAAATAATACCAACTTCCGGACCGGTGGTACTATTCACAGACCGGTAAACTACTATGAAAACACAAGAAAAATGGGGCGTTACACGTGGGGTGCCATAGAGCATTTAATCTCGATTATTAGTGTTTCCGTTTCATTATAAACATGGGGTGCCATAGAGGTGAACTTACATCTCATTCCTTTGATTCCCGATCCTGGATCCGCGTCATTTGGTATCAGAGCCAAATCAAAGTTTTGGGGTAAGTTCTGTTATCTTAGTTAGGAATTTGAGTTTTCTTGTTGTTGGATTCCATTGGTACACCTTCAACAGAATGGTGTAGCTGAAAAGGTGGAATCATACTTCTTATGGAGATGGTTAGGAGTATTGCTAAATAATTGTACTGTACTTTTATCTTTGGATGCATGCATGCATTAAAAGACTGCCTTGCATATTTACTTAATAGGGTTCCTGTAAGGCAGTTCCTTAAATACCCCTTATGAATTGTGGACAGGAAGGAAACCTAGTCTGAGGCATCTTCCATTTTGGGGTGCCCAGCGGAAAGTAAGGATATATAATCCACATGAAAAGAAGCTTTGATGCATGAACGGTTAGTGGATTTTCATAAGATATCCTGAAAAGTTCAAAAGGGTACAGATTTTATTGTCCTAACCATAGTATGAGAATTGTTGAGTCTGGTATCTCGGTTTATTAAAATGGCCAAATTAGTGGGAGGTAGTGAAAACCACGTTAAAGTGGAATGTGCAAGAGATCAGATTAAAATCCAATTGAGGTGGATTTTCCTAATGTCTCTTCTTCGTTGTTGTTCCACTTGTTGTATCACAATTAACAACATGGGTATCACAATTTAACAACATGGTTGAACAACAAAATAACATTCTGAACCCACAAAATGACCATATAAATGATGAACCGGTAAATAATGAACAATTCACAAATGATGAAGTGGTTTCACAAGAAATAGCATTACGGAGGTCACAAAGGCAAACAAGGCTAGCTATTTCTAGTGATTATGTGCTTTACTCACTTGAGCATGAATGTGAATTAAGCATTGATAAGGATCCAATATCTTTCCAGAAAGCCATGGAATGAGATAATGCTGAAAAGTGGTTTAATGCCATAAAGGAAGAAATGCAATCAATGAGTGATAATCAAGTCTGGGATTTAGTCGAGTTGCCTGAGGGGTCAAAAAAAAGTTGGTTGTAAATGAGTTTTCAAGACCAAACGGGACTCTAAGAGCAACATTGAAAGATATGAGGCCAGACTTGTTGCTAAAGTTTACACTCAGAAGGATGGCATTGATTTATAAAGAGGCTTTTTCTCCAGTTTCCAAAAAGGACTCTTTAAGAATTATTTTGGCTTTGGTGGCTCATTATGATCTAGAGCTTCACCAAATGGATGTAAAGACAGCCTAAGACAACCTTTCTTAACGGTGACTTAGAGAAGGAAGTATATATGGACCAACCAGATGGATTTGTGGTTATAGGAAAGAAAAATTTAGTGTGTAAGTTAAAGAAGTCAATATATGGGCTGAAGCAAGCTTCCCGTCAATGGTATATTAAGTTCATTAATACCATCACTTCATATGGATTTATAGATTATAGAAAACAACTGTGATCAGTTGTATTTATAGTGAAGGTCAGTGGGAGCAAGCTCATCATGTTAGTCCATATACGTTGATGACATTCTTCTTACTGCGCTATGATGTTGGGTTATTGCTGATGTAAAGGGTTTTCTCTCTAAAGAACTTTGAAATGAAAGATATGGGAGAGGCATGGAGAGGCATCCTTTGTGATAGGGATAGAAATATTCCTTGATAGATCACAAGGACTATTAGGATTGTCTCAAAGAGCTTACATTGATAAGGTATTAGAGAGATTCAGAATGGAAAATGCTCTACAGGAATAGTTCCAATTCAGAAAAGAGACAGGTTCAGCGAAATGCAATGTCCTAAGAATGATTTGGAACGTAAAGAGATTTCCATATGTGTCAATGGTTGGGAGCTTAAAGTATGTTCAGACATGTGCTCGACCGGATATTAGTTTCGCCATAGGAACGTTAGGGCAATATCAAAGTAATCCTGAGATTGACCATTAGAAAGCTGCAAAGAAAGTACTTAGGTATTTACAAGGCACTAAGGATCATACTAAGGATCATATACTCACTTATAGAAAGTCCAGCCATCTAGAAGTGGTGGGATACTCGGATTCAGACTATGCTGGTTGTGTAGATTCGAGAATGTCTACATTTGGCTACTTGTTTCTCCTAGATGGAGGAGCAGTATCATGGAAAAGTGGAAAGCAGTCTGTCATTGCTACTTCCGCAATAGAGGTTGAATTTGTGGCATGCTTTGAGGCCATTGTTCATGCATTGTGGTTGCGGAACTTTGTCTCAGGTGTAGGTATTGTCCACAGTATAGCTAGACCGTTGAGAATTTACTGTGATAATTCCGCAGCTATCTTCTTCTCTAAGAATGATAGGTACTCTAAGGGTGCAAAGGCAAAGCACATGGATTTAAAGTAGCCTAATCTATGAAATGGAAGAAGTGGCAAAACACATAAGTGTCATTTGAGATATCCGGTAACTTATGCAACCCTCTCCCCAAATATCAAGCATTTAATGCAGTGACTCAAGGACAGAAATGTGCACGTGAATGTGTGATGTCGCCACCTTGTTTAATTATTTTTTGGGTAAAACTAGAAAAAGACCCTAAGTGACTTCCAATTTTTAATTAACCTAATTGCTAGATTAACTATTTCCCAAATGTTTAGCATGGTCTACGGAATACCCGAGGTGGATCCCCGAGACTATGGCATGCTGTGAACGTAACCTATGAATGAACTGTTTTGGAAGAAGGATGATGTAATTGACCCATGAAATGTTTTATGTGATTTCGGACTTAGCCGCTCAGGTAAATCTCAAACTGCCTACGTACTTTCCGTTTGGAATGGAAGATCAAAGTCAACGCTCTCGCCATAGGCCTTTTTAAAGGGCTTTGAATGGGTATGCTTAATGCATGAGTGTGTTATGCATATTCTTTGCATTTTTTGTTTAGGCATTTATGCCAAAGTAATTGAGGATTCGATTTAGGCATTTGTTGCCAAAAAATGTTGATTTAAGGCTTTTTAGCAAAAAGATTGATTTAGGCCAATTATTTGCGCTCCAAAATTGATGTGATTTACGCGATTGTCGCCCAAAATTGTTATTTGAAGGCTTTTAGCCAAAATGAGTTGATGTTTAGGGCAATTTATTGCCAAAAATTAATGGGCGATTGTGCCAAAATTGATTGATTTTAAGGCTTTTAGCCAACAGTTGCATTAATTGAAGGCTTTTTAGCCAAATCTCAAATTAAGCGATTTGTCGCTTATAAAAGATTAATCTACTTATAGGCAATTTGTTGCCAAAGAGATCAAATTTGATTTGGCAATGTGAGGCAATTTTGCCAAAAGAAAACCGCGTTTACTTCAAGCTATTGTAGCCATTAATTATTGATTAATTGGACTTAAGCGGACTGTTCGAAATAAGGCGATTATACCATAGTCATTACATTGACTAGATCTTTTAGCCGTATTTATGTCGATTATGCTTTGATACCACGATTATTAATTAACCGGGCACTTTAGCCTAAAAATTATTAAGTTGAGGGCAGTTTATTGCCTAATGATGACGTGTAATGCATTTATGCAGTTGTAGAAATTAGAGTGAAAGAGCATGCATGAGCTGCTAAAATTAAATGGGCAGAGTTTCGTTTATGTACCTGATTTAATCGACTGGTGCTTATTACTTCAGCTTGGAAAAACTCCGGATTAAAGCTCGTCGTTTGGCGGCAATATTAATTAATTTTAATTCAATTCTAGTGACCAAATTATCACAACAACACAATAATAAAAGGCCTATGCTAAAGTGCAGATAAGCAGTAAAGAATCGCAAGGAGCGTGGGAGAAGGAGCGTCCGTCAACACAGACTGAGTGCCTCAAAACGGAGTGCCCGGGTCTGATTTTATAGGCAAAAATCGGACTGGAGGGCGGCTGCTGCCGCCTAGGTCGGCGGCCGGAGCCGCTGTGACCGACGGCCTGAGCCGCCGGGGCCGGCGACCTCTGCGGCCGGAGCCGCCGTGGCTGTCGGGTTTGCTAATTTTTCATTCCGGAGGCTTTTTCGGGACCAGTTCTGCGATCCTCATAATTTTCCGGACGTTTCAAGTACCATATTGGCATACTTTCGGTGAACTTTCCGAATGGCCTCGGGTCGGGAATGTGCCTTCTGTCCGTCCACTGTTTGCATCCAAAATACTCTATTGGTATCTATCCATTACTGATCAAACAATATTCCATCAATCTATAAGGTCTCTCTATCTGTCTACTGTGCTCAATTGTATTAGTATGGTCATTAGGTTATAGATAAGTCCTGTTAGCATTGATGTTCTAAACTTGCTATTATTTAGCATCATACATAGCTGGTACATATTAGTGTGGACATTTGGAATTCAATTAAAGATGTGTTTTTGCGTTATTCTGTTATTCCACCATTATAGGATGTATACAATCATGCGTTGAGTGAGATAACAATAACTTCTGCATTCGTGACAATGTCATTGTTTGGTTGATAGTTCTCCATTAAAGCTGTCTTATGAATATTTATATAGTTATATGGGAATGAATCATTGTCGATTAATGATTGTGACCGCCAGTGATATTGTCCGATCATATGTTTAAGGTAAACATTATATATTCAAGAAATGCCATAGGTCAAGTGAGATTGTTTATTATTAATAATCTATATGTGGCCCATGTGATTTAAGGGCTGTTCTATAAAGTGTGCCCTATTGGATTAATGGATAAGGACCAGTTAGTTTTAATACCCTTCCCTTGCCTTATAAAAGATAAAAGGAATCAACAGCTTAGGTTACACAGGAAAAGAAAACAAAAATAGAGAGTGTGAACGCGCTGCCTCAAACCACATACGTGATAGCTTGTTTCAGAGAGTGGGGAAAGGAAACTCCGTTAGCTGTTGAAATTCTCGTGACATTGAGAGAAAAACTTACGACAAAAGGCCAGAGGAGAAACAATAGATCTGCTGTTACGTATGATTGAAATTGAATTGCCTGCAACGATATGCCATAACATAGATCTGCTGTTATGAATCAAGGTTGATGCTTTCCGAGTTTATGTGGGATTATTCCTGTTCAACAAATAACTATTGCTGCAACGAGGTAATCCATAACATAGATCTGCTGTTATGGATCAAGGTATGCTTCCGATTATTGTATATTCCTGTCAAACAAATTCTATGAATAGTAGTTCTAGGCTATATTAAAGATTATTCAACAGATATGATTAGACTATTGTTCAAAAGGGTTTCAATAATGGTTCTCGGGACATCCTACTTCTCAATCTTGAACATAATCATAACTTAATGACTCATCTTTATTGTTTAACTAGTTATTATCTTATTAGGAGAGATCATTGATTTTTTTTTATGGGCCAAATCATGGCTCATTCAACTCTCATATACAATATTGTAATGCTACTAACTAGGAAACAAATCAATTAACAATAGAATCGAAAAATAAAAGTTGACAAATTACTGTTTGTTTCTTTTTTTTTACAATATTTAACACTGCCACCATTATTACTTTCTGCTTCTCTAAATACTAAGGTATTATGTTTTGGATATGAAATTGGCACTTTTTACGATACAATCTAAATAATAGAGTGACCCTTTGAAAACTTTGTCTATTAAATATTTGGCTGTATTTGGGCAGGTTTAAGTATCGAAGAAAATAACAAACAACTATTGGAGAAAATTCTGATTGAATTTTTGTATGTTCATATATGAGATTGCCAATAAACATGGCAATTTGATTTGTTTTTGTCCATTTGATGAGAATGGCATGCATAAAATGGCTAATATATTTTATTGGAGAGTCTAAAATTTGCACCAACATATGAAGCCTTTCTTACTATTGCTTAGGTTGATTGGGTGATGGTGGTTGTCGGATTAGTTTATGATTTTGCCCTAAAGTTGTTTGATTTGTGGTTTTTGTTTACAACTCTGTGACATCTAATAATGATGGAACTTTCAAAACAATTACATATGGCGCAAAATCCGACTCAGAACAAGACACTTCTTTGTTGTGTGGAAAATTGGTTCCATCTTTAGAATGACTTGAGCTAATAAGTGAGGTATGCTGCTTCCTCAAAGATTATTTGAAGCTTATGGACTAGTGTGCATTCTAATTGCTGATATTGATTTTTATTCGGATTATAGTATATATCTGTAGAAAAATAATCCAAACCAAGGGAATGAGTGTAGCAGTTGATTAAACTACTTCCATGTTTTAATCTGACTTTTGTCCTTTAGATGCTTTGTGTTCAGAGCAATGATTTTTAAACACTGACTCATTTGATTATTTATTTTCTTCCATTATATATAATATAAATCAAGCAGACAAATCATGATTAATGTTAATAGTCACATAATACTAGTAGCTAGCTACCAAACTAAAATCAAACTTAAATTTTTATCAATACTTTCTGACCTATCAGTTCGTTTTTGGATCAAGCCTCGAGAACAATCCAGCTCTTAGGGCTCCATGCGACGGTGAAAAACCTAGAAACTCCTAATACTTTGTCCGGATACTGATCGAACAATGGAAACACCATTGAGCATGGCATTGCCTTGCAATCTTCTATGACTCATCCTCGCCATGATCCCAGCAACATCCACAAATCACGTCAATTAATGGAATTCTTGATGTGGAAAGTGTGTTCCACGTTCACTGCACCATTTTTTAACCATCAGAACTTGAGGATTGAGAGAAATTGATAATTCGTCTTCACTTAGAGTAAATTTGGGGTATATTTATTGGAGTCAAGATAAATTATATTAGGATAAGAATTATAAGAATCCTATATGACATGATGGTTAGAGTATATTTGGGAGTCTAATATCCTTTAAATATATTTATATATTGTTCTTTTATGTATTTTGTTATTGTATATTATCACTTGTATTAGAATTTTAAAATATATAAAATTGTAATCATATGTTTTTTAACTTTTTTTTTTAAATTGGTATTTCTATTAGTCAACATATAAATTATCCAATTATAAAAAATTACTTAAAAAATTTTTATTATATAAGAATGAAAAATTTAAGAATATTTCAATGGGTTTGGAAATCAAGTAATTATATATTTTCCATTCAAATCAATTATTATTATTTCTATGCTGAAAACTTGTAATTTCGAAATTAGAGAGTGTGTACTTAAAAACTATAGTATTTAAATTTGAATAATGAATACATGTTTTAGGTGAGTTTTCTATATAATTTTTTATGTCATTGATTTTATTTAATACTATATTTATTAATTTCAAATTAACCGATATAATAAACTATATCAATTTTATTAGACAAATAATAAAAATTAATAAGATCATAATCTTAATAAAATATATATTTTAAATAACTTCAAGCAAATTAAATTTCAGTTAATTAGTAAATTCGGTTAACTTCGACCTGATTCATAACCAAAATTAATTCCGTGAAAATGATTTGATTAACTGATTAATTCAGTTAAATTCGATTAAGTAAAAAAATTTCGATTAATTCAATTGTTAAACGGTATCTCGAGGCAGTTGTCCTGAAACACCCGATGTGCTTTGATCCCTAGTTAGGCGTTATTACATGGATAGTTTATTTTTGTAGATTTTAATTTTGGTAAAATTATTCCGAACGCCGTCGTAATACGTTATCGTTATCATACCAGACTGATATTGGCCGTCTTCTTCACCTGGCAAAACCGAAGACCGGACTCTGCACTTGCCTTGAAAACAGTAAACAACATCGGCACAAATCAATCGGTCATGTCGCAAGAAGAACTTCTGATCAATTTAAATTCCCAAATTGCTTCTCTCCGAACCAGAATCAAAGTACTTGCTGCTCTTTATCCTTTAATTTATATTACATCTTTTGCTTTCATTGTTTGCTATTCACTGATTGCTATGCCCTTAAGCCAGGAGTTGGAGGCTGACAATGCTAAATTATCCACTCAACTCTCAAATTGTAGCTGCAACGAGGTTTTTTTCTTTCATAATTTCATATATAACATCATTTTCTTTTATCGCTTGTTAATTTTAGTAGTTATTGTTCAATCGTATGATATGTAATCCAGGCAAAGGAGAAGCTCGATAGCTCTACAGTACAATTTAGCAAAAGTTCAGTGGAGAAGAGTGGAGAAATAAATTATGGAGAGGTTAAAAGCACCAGAAAGAAAACGAGAGAGAAAACTCCAGGTCGTTCTTGAGTCTTTAATCTATTTATTAGTGTTGAAAGTATTTAATTTTGTTTAGATTTTATTTTTGTGAATGATTCAGATTAAAATTATATGAGTTTGTTTTGTAGATGAGGAAGTGATAATTCTCGTTGTGTGATGATTGTTGGATTGCACCTAGTAGTATGCATGTTAAAAATATTGAGTTTAATATTCAAATCTAGAATGGAACTACATATTGGTAGTAAGCTGAAGTAAATTTACATGATTACTATAGTGTAGTATGCAGCATAGTTTTTATAGGTAGCAAAGATATAATTATCACATTCAATTGCTATGAAATGATATATAATAAACCAGATAACCAAAAAAAAAAAAAAAAAGGATTATCAAATTGCTATTGAAAATGATATATAATACAGATAACAAAAAAAAAAAAAAAAGGAAAGAAGAGCTAGTATCAACTTAAGGTTGAAAGAAGTGAAGTCCCAAAGGAAAAAAAAAAAAAAAAAAAAGGAAGAAGAAGCTAGTATCAACTTAGGTGGAAAGAATGAAGTCCAAAGGAAGGGATGGCAATATATTTGATGTTATCCAATCTTCTAAAGCATAGTTTACTATTAGAAAATCTTGGATGAAGTAAATCATCTATGTGTATCTATAATGTAAAGAGGGTTCTTTTTGGTATATTGAAGTGATGCAAGAGCATTCAAGGCTAGTTAAGAAGTTTTCTTTTAGTTTCCTTCTTTATTTAGGATTCTTAATTAAATAAAAGAATGTAAATTAATAAGGAAATAATTTTCAAGTTTCCTTCTTTATTTAGGATTTAGTTAAATAGGAGTCTAGGAGTATTTATTAGTTAATTGGGAATACTTCTCAGTATAGAATTAGGATTTGTCCTATCTAATATAGATAGGATAGCAATAATTAGTTTTGGGTATTGTTTTTATTTTAATTCTAAGGGTTTCTTTGAAACCAATATGTTATTTTGTTGCAACCCAAATCATCCTATTCTAGCCTAATTGTTGAGAATTTATTGCCTATATTCTTCCCCTACCTCAAGTGGCATCAGAGCGCAAAATGGTCCAAAATTGCTGCAGGATTTCTACACCATGTTTTGTAAAGGGAGAGATCGAAGTAGAGGTAATCAGTTCCAACGAACTGAGATGGTTGAGATATGGCGAATGATTGAGAATTTGACCTGGTTTGTACAAGCCTTGCAGTGTCAGGAACCCGTGGAAGCCAGAATGGAGATTCCGGAAGGCAACCACAAACAACTCAAGGTTCAAGAGGATCTTGAGATTGATGGAGTCAAGGATATAAACTCTTTTCATGAAATTGGACCGGCAAATCAAGCGGCACGAAGTGGATTGGAAGAGTTGTCACTAGACGCCCTTAATTTGAATGGTGAAGGGATGAAGATTGAAGTAGCTAATCTTAATGGAGAGTTACATGCAACAGGTTATTTAGATTGGAGAATAACAATATTGATAGATGTTGATGACCTTAAGGAGAAAGAACTTTCATGTTTTGATGATCAAAACAGTGAAGGCAGCAACAAGGACCTGATGGAACCAATCTATGATGAGTGTAATGATGAAGAAGAGCAAGAAATTAATTTAGTTTCTACCCAAGGAGAAATATTGCCATTCAGCAAGTGCTTATTATCCACAAAATAGAAGAACAAAAAGATTGGAATATTGAAGGTGGGAAAACAAAGGAAAATTGTTTTTCTTCACAAAAGTATTTGCTTGTGGATGTTGATAGCATAAAACTGCCAAAAGCAAATTGTTTGAAGCAAGTACACCATGGAGTTGAAATACATCTTCAAGCAAGAAGGCTAGTGCAAACACGGAAGAGTCTTTTTGTTGAACCAACTTTGCTTTTGCTTGGAAAAGGGATGGATTATTTGAATGGCTGGCTTGTGATGTTGGTTGCTCTTGCAAAAGCCTTAAGCAAGTGGTATTCTAAGGAGAAGGTTACACAAATTGATCCTATTCTCATGGCTGAAATCTCTAAACTTTTCCCGTAGAAGCTGAGTTCTTTTCAAACCCGAGGAGAATGATGCAGGAGCATTCAAGACTAGTAAAGAAGTTTCTTCTTTATTTAGGATTCTTAACTAAATTAAAGAATGTAAATTAATCAGGAAATAATTTTTAGTTTTCCTTCTTTATTTAGGATTAGCTAAATAGGAATACTATTCAGTCTAGGAGTATTAGCTAATTAGGAATGCTTTTTAGTATAGAATTAGGATTTGTCCTAACTAATATAAATAGGACACAACAATTAGTTTTAGGTATTGTTTTTTATCTATGAATTTAGAATTTTAATTCTAAGGGTTTCTTTGAAACCAATATGCTATTTTGTTCCAACCAAAATCATCCTATTCTAGCCTAATTATTGAGAATTAATTGCTCTATATTCTCCCCTGCGTCAAGAAGTCAATAATGGATTGAAATTCCCAAGTCCATGTGAAGTATAAATTAATGTCCTAAGGAAGCATGATAAACATTTTTCTAAGGCAGATCCTTAAGGTTATATTGATGATTTCATCATGAATTTAAAATGCTAATAAGCAAATGAGTTTGCTAATTGAAGTCATTCATTGAACAGAAAATTCTTGCCAGTTGTCAAAAACTTTAGAATTTCTAATGCGTTTTGCCTTGCATCATTGATTTTTTCTTTTAGTTCTGATGCTATTGCTGTCTCTTTGAATTTGTGTTACTTTTAAATCTTAATTCTTTTCTATAATTGAAGTATCACTCTCTTATGGTGAAAAAAGAATTGAATTTTGTTATGACATTGTGGAAGAATGTTGCATATGTAAAAAGTATTACAATAAAAGAGAACTAATTGATTATTGCAAATATTGGTATCTAGACTCGTTTATAATCTTGACAGTGGTCACTTCTGCCACTTTGTTCATTTTACCTTGAATAGCCTTACTGTCTCTGTATTGTGTGTCCATCTTTTATCTGACATGGAATTTACAAATTTCTTCACTCTAAATTTTGTTGCCAGTGTAAACTCATGTGAAGGAGGTGATCTATGTAACTTAACCCAACTAAATTGGGATTAAGGTTGAATCAATTATTCTAACTTATACATGTAGAAAAAGTCAAATATAAGAAATAAAATAGCAGTAGAAATAGAAATATAATATAGGAAGTGTTTGTGTTACTGTATGTGCTGTATTGAATTTTATTTTTTGTACTCTCCTGTATTCATGTTTGCTCCCAAATTCCAATTTGATGAGCAAGTTTTCTGGATTGTGAGTATAGGTACAGGTTATCACACAAGGACCATAAATCACCATATGAGAAGATACGTTGCTCTAAAAGTCATGTATTTTGGTCAAAGGTACTTCATCTAGCTTCATTCCTAGATTGATCGATTTATTATATGCTTTTAAACTGTACTCTCTTCTCACCTGGTTAAGGATAAATTGAAACTTTAATGTGGACCTGAATTTCATTTTGTTAAATATGCAGCTGTCTGTGGTCTTACTTTTTCTTACCATTTATATGATATATAAATGTGGGAAAAATTCATATGTGAACAAGATATTCCACATGCTTAGATTTAATCCCTGAAAGCTGTAGATGTGTAGGGTTTGTTTGATAAGTATTTCTTTGTTATTTCTTAAATCTGCTTTAATGTTTACATGAAATTCTTACCTTTTTGATACAGTTGTGTTTACAAATTAGAAGAATCCATGCACTTTTTACAATGACAGTAGAAAAATGAAGAATTTGTAATGATATTTGCTGTATTACAGGTTTTATGGTTTTTCTTCAGAGGGACAAATGGATCCAACTGTTGAGGTGTGAATTTTGGTACTTTTTTACTTTTTCTTCCTTTTATTATGTTATTTCACAAATGCTTGGCTGACTAGCAGATACTCCTTTGACAACAAAATCAGCGAAATGATGGTTTTGTAAAGTAATTTTCACTGAGTAAATATAACATGTGTTTTTCTTTTCTACAATTTGACATCTCTTACAGTCTGAGATTTTCAAAGCTCTTGAAAGGACAAGGCTTTTAATTGGTGAAAAGAAGGAGATACAATACTCACGATGTGGCAGAACAGATAAAGGAGTTTCTGCTGTTGGGCAAGTAAGCATGATTATGGAGTAGGTTTGCCCCATTGAAAAACTTGTTTGCACTTAGAAAAGGGAAAAAGACAAAAAATCTTTCTGTGGCTTCACAATTTTTTATTTTTTAGTCTATGATTTTTTTTTTTTTTTTTTTTTTTTGAACAAATAATTGATACTTTGATTTTACTCTGTTAAAACATAGCTTAAACGTAGGTGAGCTTTATTTTAGCCCCAGAAGATATAAACAATTATGAACAAAAAACAAAACTTGAAGGGCATTGACAGCATGAAAAATTGTCTAATGTTAGGTGGAGTGTGGGCTTTGTTTTTTACGATCCAAACTCAAAAAATTGGGTGCAGTCGACAAATTTTTCAGGGGAATCAGAAGAACATAATGGTCAGCCACTATATATCCTGTGTCCTGGGAATTTTTAAATAGGATTTTGAGCATTAGCTATTGTAATATTTGGGTTCAAACATGGAATTTACATGTTTCAAATAGTTCAATGAAAATTCACTCATAGACTCATATCCTGTAATAAACACAATTCCTCTTTTTTCGAGGCGGCAAAAGTTGATTTCGTTGGGTTTTAGAAAATCCTGTTCTGTGTGTTTGCATGTGTTACCTGATTGTCTTTTTACAATTTCTAAATATGTTGAGTAGACAAGGAATGAAATTATGAGTGTAGATTCAATGCATATCAGTTCCTCTTAATTTTGACCTTACAGGGTGGCACGTTTTGGGCTGTAGATATGCGGCGAATGGAGAACTGGATTTCTTGTGGACATAATCATCGTGATTAGGCTTAAGTTGTTGTTCCACTAAGAAGTGATTCATTTGAGTGTGTTGAACTTGTAACCAAAACTGGATTCCTACATTAAGAGCGGCGAAACTGATCACAATTAGTCTTGATTACTTTTAATGAACAAACTGTGAACAATCTCTATACTCAGCTTGAAAACGTCAGGGGGGACAACTTGAAAAGATTCTTATGCATAATTAATTTGTAGACAGATGTTATTGACAGAACTTACCTTATGCATTCATGTTTCATTTTATATGGAATTAAAGCTATGGGTTTTCTTTATTGTTCTCGATGAACAAACTTTGAGGGCGCGTGCCTGAAAAATGTGGAGAGTCATCCATAAAAATTGTTAAGCTTTCATTTTAAGCTTAAGCTTGTTTTTGACGCTCAATTTAACTGTAAATAAACTTTGGCTTAACTCAACTTGAATACATTTTGATTTACTGTACTGGATTTAGATTTTGTTGGGATTATGATTAGTGCTGTATCGAGGCATTTTTCTCAGTTGAACAAAATGAATTGGAATTGATCCAGTTTTTGGACCTTAAACTTCATAAAATTTATGACTTATTATATATTTTATCCTTTTTCCTTTTCAAGAGACGAAGAAATTGAATTATGTGAGAGTCACTGAACTCCGGAGCCTTCCAATACGAATCATCCGAATTTTTAGGGCTGGTGTTCCAGTTTTCCAAATGATTTTTACATTGCAAGGTTTCTCCCAAACTTGGCTTATATAAATTTGTTCGCTTGCAAGAGTTTTCTCTACATCTCCTTTGTCGGGTGTGTTATCATAATCAATCTTGTTTTTATTATTTGGGGGGATTTTAATTATTTTTTAAACTCACAGTTATGTATGTGAGACAGGTAGGTGAGTATTTGAAAATCGTAATTTTCTGGTTGTTGGGGATGGACAATTTGAATCTTCTGGTATTTGTCTGTGTCTCCTTCTGTGTTTTTTTTCAGCATTCAAGTTTATTTAGGAGCATTTGACATAATCTGTTTTTAAATATTTTCTTCACTTTTTTCAGCAACATACTTTTTACAATCTCGTTTAGAGATGTTGTTCTTTACTCAGTGGCTTATTCGGAGAGTGCAAAGTAAGAGATTCATGAGCGGCGACATGACTTTTAGAAAACTTCTGTAGAGGATGGATTTGGCACGGCGCCATGTGCCCCACCAAGATTACAGCTGGTCATACTAACCTTTTTCATTTGGAAATTTACCTTGAATATATGACAGGCTTATCAGTGTAATATTTTGTTCATTCTCAATATCATTTATCTGCCTTTGTTGCCACTTTGGTGAGGCAAGCGATGCTTGACCTTTCGGAAAGTTATGCGGTGGTCTCTAGTCAATAGACGTTATGCATGATATGAGGCCTCTCATGCTTCACTCGTTATATAATTATTGGGCCTTCTGCTGTTCATTAATGTGCTCTCTCATATCGTGGGTCCAGTTGTGAGCACTTGGTGGCCTGTCTTACTCAAGTAGGTGCGTAAATTGTGTCATTCCATCGTGTGGTGTGTAACAATCGTCAATCTCGTTGGGTGTTCTATATATCAAGATGATTTAGAATTGAATTTCTTAGATATATACTATAAGTCGTTGTTTGAGGCAATCATTATTTGAATTTACATCAATCAGGAAGAATAAGGTGGAAATTAAATCTTATGTGCAAAAAATTAAAAATAATGATCCATGAAGCCAAATGAGGAGCATGTACAACATATTTATCACTCTCTCTACAAACTATGATATTGCTCTTACTTTCTCAGCGATTTTATATTCAATACTTGGTGCCTGCTCTATTCTTTATCAAACACATTACGCGATAGGGTGATGTCTGAGATGGTAATATAATAGATGACTATTGCGATGATACTTATTTGTGATGGCTTCACTCTCTGACTTCAGTTCATAATTTCCACCGTTTCTTCATTTCAAGTAGGATGATCGCATCTTCGTGAGTACATGAGACATCTGCTTTTATGGAATCTTTTATTGCAACCTTAGGATTTATGTGGTCATCTCACAGTTGAAGGACATCAACTTTGTGATAATTGAAATAAACTCCTTTACTGGATGAATATGATGTTTTCCTCTGTAGAGCAATATCTCGCAGAGTCCGGTGTTATAGGTTTGGTGGTTAGTATCTTTCATATTTTTCCACTCGAGGCTCTCACAAGGTCTTTTGACCGTACGCCCCTGGATGCTGGTATCGTACTTAGTTTCCTATTTGCCTGTGACTACATTATTTAATCTTTTTTATAGGTTTCACTCGACTTATAGAACAACTATATCTGCCACTCCACAGACTCTATAGGCGATGCTGAGCCTCTAGTTTACATTTTCTTTTGGTTTAAGATGTCCATGAACTAACTAAAATTATGAGCTTTGAGAACCTATGAGTACATGTAAAAAAGTCAAAGTAACAAAATTACTAAAAATAATCCCACTGAAATTGCATTCCAGACTGTTCTGGATACCATCCATTATATGTATTACAATTATCTCCTCGTCCATGCGACCACGATTTTTTCGACTCATGATAGTGCTCGTTTTTATTGAGGCCACATATTTTCAGGTGAGGACATTTTGGATGCAACTACCCTGCTTGTTTGTAGTATTCACTAGGAAGCACATTTGATGATCCTTGCCTAGGGTGAGCCCTAGAAATAATGTTGTTGTACGGTACCTTTGCTTTACTATAACTTACAGGGATTTCTTCGCATGAGTTTGTGAGTTCTTTCACATTTAGGAAATGTAGGAAAATAGAACTATTACAGATATGTTTTTTTATTTTTTTCTATGGCTGGATCCTATATCTCTTGCTAAGTAATGGTCCACGGAGGGCCGACATTTCATAATTAGCATATAGTTTAATATTAGCATGTGAACAGCATTGTACTATTATATCGGTCTGCTCGAACAAATTGATTGTGTGAATATAGAAACGGAACTGCATTTTATAGAAGCAATCCAAAAGCTGCACACGGTAATTAGATGTTGTTATTATGGGATGCTATTTAGACATCCAAGGATAAACCCCAATATCCCATGGGCTGCCAGGGAAAGGTTGCGCGACTGGTTCTACATTCCTGGTGAACTCTTAAGACTTCTCGAGGTTTACATGGTTCAACAGGAGTAAGTTAACTTTGAAAACGCTAAATTAATGCAAACATTGTTTTTATAAAAAGTGTTGCTCACATACTAGCTATGCGTTGAAATGTGTGTGGTACTCTATTTTGGTTTTTTGTCTATGATGCTGTTGCGCTGTTGAGTACTCTCAGCGTGTATAAGGCATGTAATCTTCGGTATCTCCCACTCTACGATGAGTAAACATATGGACCATAATTCGCTTAGTGTCTGAATGGATTAGTCCTCGCATAAATCAAGGCGAGATGTGACTACTAAGTGTGCGATATGGACTTTTGTCTCTGTTTTTATATGAGAGCATGATCTGTGATGACTCTCAGATAATCCGTGGCTATTTTCTCTGGCATGTAACGCATTAAAAGGCTTGGGTTATATGGCGCTCTCAAATAATGTTGAAGATCTTAAGATGCCAAAAGCCAGTTCATGCGCGCTAATAACCTTGAGTTGAGTCACTTCATGCTGTCTTAAAGTATCTGATTAGGAGAGCCTATCATTTCTTCTTTGGTGGCGGAAAAGTTATTTTATAGCTGGAAGCGATTTGGCCAGATGCGAAGTCATCAGTCGGGTGGCATGTACAAATTTAATGCAGCTCCTCTTTTAGTCCTTTAGGATGGCGCGTATTTGTTGATCTGTGTAGTGGGTATATGAAGTGTGAAGACAAAGCTACACCCCACTTGTATAGACTCATTAATCCTTTTTTGCCCAACGTGCCCTAGGCTTAAATGGGTTGTGTCAGAATTCAGTTGGCCAAGTTACCAAAATAGTGTCTTTTTAATTTTGGCTTTTCATTTTTAATAGGATGCTTGGCCAAAAGGGCCATAGTATGTAATGATACTCTACTCTCTCGTAAATGACTATTATAGTGAGATGTCAGAGTAAACTTAGTACCCAAACTCTCCAAGCTGCCATTCTTTCATGAAGCTTTTACTTATGGCTTAGTCATTTTTTGCACTTTTTCTTCATGCGAAATGGTGCGGAAGATTATTATTCTTTTCAAGTATTTCTCGTGATTTGCCTCGGAGGCTTGCTTCTATCAGGCGAATCCGGAGTTACTCTTCGACTAACATTAGAGCGAATCCATTGGTTTATACTTCCGATCTTGCCAGAAGTGGAAGCTCATTCTTATAATGGAACTCAATTCTCAACATATTAGAAAAGC